TTGGTTTGGTTCGTTTTTTATTTATTATTCTATTACGGAGTTTGGAGTTCGTATTTTTTTACCTAAGAAATGTCGTGGTTTTCCAGAATCAAGATAACGTTTCGGGCTAAAAGTGAGTGAAAAAAATAAGGCAGGAAAAATAAGGATAAAAAAGGTCGGTAAAGGTCCTACCATCATGTGCTCTTACCGATAATTGCTAGTAAAGTCATCAACAGTAACCTTATCTTTTTATCTAATCTTAATCTAAGAAGTGACAAAATAAAATTTTTCTATTTAGTTGAGAATCAAGTACGACTAGTCTTTAAAGAGGACTTCTCATGATACTCTGATATCACTATTTCTCTTTACGAGCTTATTTAGTGAAGAAGAATAGTGTATTAGTTACGATTAAGATACATTCAAGGTAATTTCTTTCGGTATACAAAAAGAGCCTTTACATAAATACAACAATTATGAGTTGGTGATCAAAATTCAAAATTATGAAATGATGTACAAAACAACAACAATTACTAACCAAATATGTATTATTGTGGATTCTTAGCAAATCATGAACCAATTAGTCTTCATCAAGTTTCATGTACATGAATAAACCAAGTGTACTATATTACTAATGATCGCGTTAGTTATTTCATCACCAATTCAACTGTAAAGTGACAGAATTTTTCTATTTGTATTCTTTATGCTTGTTTTTTTATTATATATATTTGAAAGTAAATGGAAGAGTGAAAACAAATCGAAAGAGAGAATGAAAATATCTAAACATGACATAACCACGACCTTCATTTAATACATCCATAAAATTTGTGTTAATTACTTGTGCATGGGCAATTGACTCTAATACAAAATCTTTGTATTTATATACTTTGACAATTCATATGAATATATATATATATATATATAATGAGAAAGTAAAAATGATGAACCTTTCAAATATCATAAAATGTTCTTGATTAATCTCTACTAATTAATAAAACACTCATTGTTAATCAAAACCCTATGAAATTATTAGTTTAACATTCTAATTAAAAAAGAACATGAATAAGAAATATGGGGCATAAATGTAATTTCACACAACCAAATTTTGCTGTTTTTTTTTTCAAAGCCTCACCTACAAGTAATCATAACATATCTCTAATTTAAAAAGAAAAAAGAAAAAAAAAACTTCATACTTCCACATTCTCTATCACTCTCTTCCTCTCTCCTTCTATTTCAAAAACAAAAATAAATTTTTTTCAAAAACACTGTGTGTGCACATATGCTAGTAAAAATATTAAAAGAAGACATTTTTTTTTAAGAAAAAAGACACTTTAAAATTAAGGCAAAATAGTAAAATTACAATTTTTGTTGTTTTCTAGTAGGAGTATTTCTCATGGGACCCGCACGTGGATATAATGATCGTCATATGGAGCGTTGATGACAGACTGTTCGTTAGATGGGAATTCTCATGGGCCCAAAGTGAGACTTCTTGTAAGAAATTGTCTTTTGTTTATCCTTATCATTGGATAAAGGTTGTGCGATGCTTTTGATTAAAAATTAGACTTTCCAGGTCTTTTTCATTAATTTTATTTTTTGAAAGATAAATATAAGTATTAGCGCTTAAAATTGGTGAGCTTTTTACCAAAAAAAATAAATAAATAATTGGTGAGCTCAGTAAAGATCAAAATGGTTGTGTGTTGCCCCTTAGTGGGTCTGGGGGTTTGCGAATAAGGCGAAATAGACAATAAAATTTAAGTGGTTCACCCTTCAAAACTGTCCACTGAGTGTCTTGAATATATTGAATACAGAGTTACAAATAACGCTCGGCTCAACATAATATATTTTCTCTCACAATTCCTCCAACGTCTTCTAAGGAGTACTCATTCTCTTTATATAGGCCCACAATGAGCCCCAAGTCCAATGGCTCGAGTCTCCCACTGCCTTTGCATTTAATGCGCATAATACATAGATTTGACCTGCTAGTTGTCCCTCCATTTTTTGGCCGAGACGCGGCAACGAAGTGATATTTGTGCATGTCCACTTGCATGCTTACTTAGGACAATGTATACTTAGCATCTTGCTCAGCTCTAGAGTTGGTAGACAAAAACACTTGAGCCCTCTACTTGTCAGCCTTTATGCTCCCTTATAGGCTTTTGTTCACTTGGATAGCCATAATGCACCTAGAGTTATTGGTTTGAATAGGCATGTCCCTTTGTTCTTGGGACCTTGTGCCATAAATATGTCAGTGCACCAACTTTGCACTTTGGTAGTCGGAAAGTGCTTTATAGGGAAGCCCTTGGCCTAGTTGATTTATAGTCAACCTGGATGCCATGTGCTACTATATCACTCGGGATCGTTCTCCCAGCTTCGTTGGAAAGGACCCTGCGTTAACAATAGGTATACGGTTGTCAACAAGCTCATTTAAAAAAAATTAGGGAATTAGTGTTAACTTTTGTAGTTTAGGTAGGATCCTAATTGATATGTAATCCCGTGTATTCTCATGTAATCACTTGTAATTAGTTTTCTTTCCTTTTATGTTAGGGTTGTACTCCTATAAGTTCCTCTTATTGAGAAGAATATATCATTATTCAAAGCATTATCTTCTTGGTACTAGAGTCAAGTCGAAAAAGGAAAAAGTTAAGAAGAAACCTAGGAGTGCTGAGTATTCAGTGCGCTGTCCGAACCCAACGCCATGCCCGACCGTAGCACGGTCTTTGATCAGCGAGCGGTGCTTCATACCGTTGCTGTCCCTCAGAAGAAAACCACAGCGAGCGACGAATTGTCATTGCTGTCCTCGAATCACAGCGAGTGATTACTCCATCGTTGTTGTTCAGGAACCTGTGCATAGATTCCCATAGCCTAGAATTCTGTGCAGCCCCGTGCTCCCTTGTTCCTTTGTCCCTGTGTTCCCTTGATCAGCACCACCGCTAAGGGCTTTGGTGCACCGTCTTGATTCGTGATCATCCACGTTTGTGTTGTTGCTGCAGTGTCCTGATTCTCAAGCAGCAAATATCCTACTGTGGTGTGGCTACTCAAACTTGCTGCCCAGAATTGTCAACATATTTATTTATTTTTTATTTTATTTGCCCACAAATGGTGACCCTGACATAACCGAGCCCACCACTATGGAAGTTGAAACATATGAATCTGTTGCTAAATCCAAAAGTAAATTAGATTGTATAAATGACAAAGCATCGGCCTTGAGTACCGTGGCCAGTGAACTGAAGGTAGATTCTAAAAATATAGTTGCGGAAGTGTCTGCCTCTACTAATACAAGTAACAATGGTAAGGCTTTAAGGGGGCGTTTGTTGCGCCGGACTATTTCGGACTGGGCTAGCTTCAAGGACTAAACTGGACTGGCTTAGACTAGACTAAGCTGGACTAACTTAATGAAGCGTTTGGTGCAGTGTTGGACTAAGAAGCTGGATAATAACAAATTCTAATATTATATTATTTAATATATAAATTATTAATATTTTATTATGATTTAGGTGACCGGAGATGACGGGGAGTCTATCGGGAGTGGTTGTTGAGCATGACGAGGACGAGAGAAGATAGTCTTAGCTAGTCCCATGGTTATTGGGGGGTCTCGCTAAGACCTCTTAGTGAAGGGTTTTGTCCATGCTAGTCCCCTCCAGTCTCATTAATGTTAGTCCCAGCATGGAACAAACACAGTATTGGACTAACAGCTAGTCCAGTCTAGTCCAGTCCCACTTCGTGAGGGCAAACAAACGCCCCCTAAAGGTTTTTGCCTCTGTTATGAATAATATGTGGATAATTGATTCTGGTGCTACTAAACACATGACTTATGATTCTAGACAGGTAGAAACCCTAAAACCATCCACCAAAACTGTAGTCAGTGTTGCCAACGGTAATTCTTCCCATGGTATTGGGGAAGGAACCGTCTCCCTTTTAGATACCTTTAGTCTTGATACCGTACTTGTTGTTCCTTCTCTTGACTATAATTTATTATCTGTTTCTCAAATACTGTCGTCCTGCATTGTCTTATGATTTTTTGGCCTTCTTTTTGTGTTTTTAAGGACATTCGGACTCGCAAGACGATTGGTTATGGTATTAGGAAAGGGAAGCTCTACTACTTGGAGCTGACATCAAACAGTTCCCGAATGTTGACTCAAGCTCTTGCAGTGGAAGGAAATTTGGGGGATAGGAATAAAGCTTCGGAGATTTGATTGTGGCATCGTTGGCTTGGACATGCTTTATTCGACTATCTGCAGAGGTTGTTTCCTAGCATGTTTAGTAAGCATGATATTTCTAACTTTAAATGCGGTGTTTGTGAAATGGCTAAAAGTCATCGTACTTTGTTTCCGTCTAGTTTGAATAAAAGTTCAATCCCGTTTATGATCATTCATTCTGATGTTTGGGGACCATCTAAAACTGCTACACTTGGTGGTGCTCATTGGTTTGTTACTTTTATTGATGACTGCACACGTATGACTTGGGTTTGTTTGATGAAGTCCAAAAGTGAAGTTACTTCTTTGTTTTAGCGGTTTTATAAAATGGTACAAGTACAATATAAGTCACAAATATAGGTTCTCAGGAATGACAATGGCGGCGAATATGTAAACTCTGAACGTCGTGCCTTTCTTGATCATCATGGTATTATTCATTAGACTACATATCTATCTACTCCATAACAAAATGGTGTTGCAGAACGTAAGAATCGGCAGCTTCTAGAGGTTGTTCGTGCTTCTCTGATTGAGGCACATCTCCCGTTATCTTTTTTGGGAGAAGCTCTCACCTCAGCTGTGTATCTCATGAATCGTGTTCCATCCCGATCAGTCGACTTTCAGACACTGCTCTAAACTCTTTCTTCATATGTTGATGCTCCTACAGCTCATAATCTTCCACCTCACGTGTTTGGATGTGTAGCCTTCGTTCATCTTCATAAACAACAGAGAAGTAAGCTTGAGCCTCGGGCCTTACGGTGTGTGTTTGTGGGGTATGCCTCAAATCAAAAGGGGTATCGTTGTTATCACCCTCCGACGAAAAAATTGTTTGTCACTATGGATGTTGCGTTTCATGAGAATGATATGTACTTTGCCCATCTCGAGTCTTCACTTCAGGGGGAGAATCAAACAGAAGTTCAAACTCTTGATTATACTATTCCAAATATAGATAGTGTGAATGATTTGGATTTAAGTGGTGATGTATTGGAGACAAGTGGTGATCACTCACACGAAAACAATGATATGAATGAATTGGAACTAAGTGGTGATGTTGTGGAGACAAGTGGTGATCATTCACATGGAAACAATGTTGAAAACCGTGAAAGGGACGAGTCGACATCGCCAGATAACTCATTGCCTGATGGCTTACTGCCAGTTTCCTCACCACTGGACAGTCCTATGTCGCCAGCTATCTCACAGTCGATCTTGAGTCCCAATAACCATAATCAATCGTCTTCGATCTTGGATGCACCACCCCCACCACGTCGTCTCCCTGATCGCATCAACCGAGGTATTCCTAAACCTACTTATAAAGCCGACCCTAATTGCAAAACTCGGTATCCGATGAGTAAGCCCAACCCTGAGCCTAATGTGTTATACCCGTTAAGTAGTTATGTGTTTACCAATCACCTGTCAGAATCAAATAAGTCATTTGTGCATCAATTATCTACTGTATCTATTCCTAACAATGTGCAGGAGGCTTTAGCTGATCCATGTTGGCAAGCAGCAATGAATGAAGAATTGAAGTCTTTGAAGAAGAATGCTACCTGGGAAATCACAGACTTGCCAGCCGGCAAGAAACCTGTGGGATGCAAATGGGTCTATACGATAAAGTACAAAGCTAATGGGATGATGGATCGCTTCAAGGCAAGACTAGTAGTAAAATGATACACTCAAAAATATGGAATTGACTATACGGATACATTTGCCCCTGTAGCCAAGATCAATACAGTCCGTGTTTTGTTGTCCTTGGCTGCAAATCTTAATTGGCCATTACAGTAGTTCGATGTGAAGAATGCCTTCTTGCATGGGGACTTGACATAAGAGATTTATATGGATCTTCCGCCGGGATGTAATGCTCCAGATAAATACAAAAGAAAAGTGTGCAGGTTGAAGAAATCCTTGTATGGCTTGAAGCAGTCCCCTCGAGCATGGTTTGGAAGATTCACAAAATCTATGAGAGCATTTGGTTACAGACAAAGTAACTCTGATCATACTTTGTTCCTGAAAAGACAGAATGGGAAGCTTACTGCACTTATTGTGTATGTAGACGATATGGTGGTAACGGTAATGATCCAGAAGAACGTGCGGCCTTGCAAAGATACTTGTCTACAAAATTTGAAATGAAGGACCTTGGATCCTTGAAATATTTTTTAGGGATTGAGGTGTCAAGAAGCAGTTCTGGAATTTTCTTGTCTCAGAGGAAGTATATTATTGATTTGTTGCATGAAATTGGCATGTCAGCTAGTAGCTACACCATTAGAAGAAGGATTGAAGCTTAGTATTGATCCTAATCAAGTACCAGTTGACAAAGGAAGATACCAAAGGTTAGTAGGCCGTTTGATGTATTTGGCACACACAAGACCGGACCTTGCTTATGCCTTGAGTGTAGTGAGTCAATACATGCATGATCCTGGAGAGCAACATATGAAAGTTGTGATGAGAATATTACGATATTTGAAGGGAAGTCCGGGCAAAGGAATTTTGTTTAAGAGGAATAATCACTTTAGTGTTGAGGGTTATACTGATGCAGACTGGGCAGGTTCCATTGATGATAGACGCTCAACATCAGGTTACTTTACGTTTGTTGGGGGTAACTTGGTTACATGGAGAAGTAAGAAACAGAATGTGGTTGCCCGTTCCAGTGCAGAAGCAGAATACAGAGGTATGGCTTTGGGGATTTGTGAAATTTTGTGGCTTAAGCTTCTGTTAAGCAATTTGGGTATACAACATGATCAGCCCATGAAATTATTTTGTGATAATAAAGCTGCTCGTGACATTGCACATAATCCGGTACAACATGATAGAATAAAGCATGTTGAAGTTGATCGGTTCTTCATCAAAGAAAAATTGGAAAGGAAAATAATTAAAGTACCAGCGATAAGAACAGAAGATCAGTTGGCAGATATCCTCACAAAAGCTGTTTCGAGTCACAAGTTTCCAAGTTTCTTACACAAGTTGGGCATGAGTGACATATATGCACCAACTTAAGGGGGAGTGGTGACTTTTGTAGTTTAGGTAGGATCCTTAATTGATATGTAATCCCGTGTATTCTCATGTAATCACTTGTAATTAGTTTTCTTTCCTTTTATGTTAGGGTTGTACTCCTATAAGTTCCTCTTATTGAGAAGAATATATCATTATTCAAAGCATTCTGTTCTATTAGAACTAGAATACCCATAATTTTATTAATGAGGATTGTATCCCCCTGTAAAATGACTAACATACCTAGTTGAATTAGGACTAGAATGTCTTAATATTTTAAAAATATTAGTTATAAAAGAAAATAAAAAGGGGAGGAGGTGGGCGTTCCAGTTCTCCACCTCTCCCTCCCCGAGTCTGATTGAGTGTCATGATTGTTTCTCCTAAAACTTCGACCTGCTTATCTCTATTTCAATTTGTACATAGAACAACATGCATTCAAGTAATCTGCCCATTCTGCCAAATGCACTGGACTGTGCTGCCCCTTTTTATTTGATTTGTTTTTTATTATATATATATATTTTTTAAGGGAACTTTAACGAAAAGTTCTCGGTACTGTTCACTTTAACGAAAAACTACATTTTTACACTAAAAAGTCAATCCTGGTACTATTCACTTTACCCTTTATTTTGTCCTTATCATTAAAACTCAAAGTTTTCAAACCCTTTTCATTAGTTTTTTTTTTTTTTAACGAACGCTATTATCTACACTAAAGCAAGTGGGGTGGACTTAGTTTTATAATGAGCTAGCAATAATATGGTTCAAATTCGCATTTTGCGAGAATTGAACTAAGATCTCTCATTTACAAGTGAAATATACTGGACTATAGTACTAAGTGACGTTTTTTATACCTTTTTATTTTAAATAAATACTTTGTTGTATAGGGTTAATTTAGGAAAATTATAAATTGTAGTTAGGTGTCCAAAGAATGAAAGAAATAATTTGTCTATGCTAAGTTGTTAAATACATGCATATACAATGGTATAATAAATGTCATAATGAATTAATTGGTTTGGTTCGTTTTTTCTTTATTATTCTGTTATGGAGTTTGTATTTTAACCTAAGAAAGGTCGTGGTTTTCAGGAATCAAGATAACGTTTCGGGCTAAACCATGTGCTCTTACCAATAATTGCTAGCAAAGTCATCAACAGTAACCTTATCTTTTTATCTAATCTTAATCTAAGAATTGACAACGTAAAAATCCTCCATTTAGTTGAGAATCAAGACCGACTAGAGTCTGAGTCTTGAAAGAGAATATCTCGTATGATACTCTGACGTCACTATTTCTCTTTATGATCTTATTTGGCAAAGAAGAATAGTGTATTAATTACGATTAAGATACATTCAAGATAATTTCTTTTAATATACAAAAAGAGTTTTTACATAGGTACAATAGTTATGAGTTGGTGATCAAAATTCAAAATTATGACATGACGTAGAAAGCAACAACAATTACTAAACAAACATGTATTATTGTGGATTCCAAATATTTCTTAGCAAATCATGAACCAAATAGTCTTCATCAAGTTTCATTTACATGAATAAACCAAGTGTGCAATATTACTAATTATCGAGTTAATTATTTCATCACCTATTCAACTATAAAGTGAGATAATTTCTCTTTTTGTATTCTTTATGCTTGTATTTTTTTTTTTCATATTTGAAAGTAGGATAAATTAGGTTCACATCATTCTCTTTACTAGTCCATTAATTAAAATCCTATTCATTTTCAATTTTTGATCAAGGTCATTTGGTATTAATAACATCATTAATTATTTTAATAATAAAATATTTTTATTTTTAAATATATTCCTTTAGTGTTAAAAATGTTAAAATTAGTATATTTATATTTATGGCTAAATTTTTTTTATCATATATTTTTATTTTTAGTTTGTACCTATTTTTAATTTGTACCAATTTTCTTTTCATTTTTAATTTGTACCCATATATTAGTTTCTTTTTGTGCCCATATTTTTTAAAACTTTATATGTGTTTGTACCCATTTGTACACCGTCACGTGACATTGTATATTTAATCAATGATAGAAAAATTACATATGGTATATTTATGTTTTATGCCTAAACCTTGTATCATATATTTATATTTTTGGTTCGTACCCACTTTTAATTTGCAACATTTTTTTAAATTTGTAGTATTTTCTTTTTAATTTTATTTTGTACCCATGTATTAATTTCTTTTAACGCCTATATTTTTTTAAATTTCATTTGTACTCATAATTTTTTAATCTTTTATTTGTACCCTAATTTATTTATAATGTACCCATTATTCTTTATTAATGTACCACTTTGTTATATGTGAAATGTACCAATTATTTTGTAAAATGTACCATTTTTTTAACACTATGGATACATTCTTTTGCCATTTATTATTTCTTATTTTTACATAGTTTTTATCCATTTATTCAATCAAAATGTTTGAATTTTTTTTATTGTAACTGTTTCTAATAGTATTAGAATGAGGGATTTTAAATTTATAGGATTATAAATCTCATAAAATATCGAACAATTAATGTCAAAACTATAAAACTATAAATATTAATTGTAATATAATGAGGTGTACAAAGTCAAGGGACTATAATCAAACTTGAATACCATTAAGGTTTTAGTCAAAGAATGTTAAGAATTAGGGACCGCATCCAAAGTATCATTTGAAAGTAAATGGAAGAGTGATACATCCATAAAATTTGTGTTAATTACTTGTGCATGGGCAATTGACTCTAATACAAAATCTTTTATATTAATATACTTTAACAATTCATATGTATTTATCTGTAACAATCTTTCCCTAATTTTATGATTTTATTCATTTTAAAAGAGTGGCTTGATGAAAATGCCCCTATAGGCAAGAATTTTGACTTACGTTGATCATCATTTAGAGAGATGCATGACTCATTGTTTTCGCGTATTTGTGTAGTACTTGAGGATACGAACGCGTGGGCACAAGCGGAATCGAATTTGGAGTTACGATAGAGATTTTATGGACTTACAAATGCGAATGGCAATTTAGTAATTTCATGTTCTGAGATATTTTTTGGCTTGTTTTGTGAGCCACATGGGGCCCACACCCCACTCTTTCCCTCCCTCGTGTGTCTCCCAATCTTTAGAAATCCATTTTTTTCAACTCTCCACTCATTTGCTACCATTTCATCTCTCATTCCTTCATTTCACTCCCTCTCGTCTCTCGGCTCTGTCTCGTTTCTCTTTCTGCAAGTGCAGAGAAGCCGCACCATACCAACCTCACCGTTCCGGCGAGTACCACCACCATGAACCTAGGCTAGTCATGAACCACCGCCTACTGCCATGATTACCTCTCCCTCACCCCTCACCTCTATCTCTCCCCCGTTCTCCTCATCTCTGTAGTTACGCAGACACTACCATGACGGAGAATCGCCATCTTCTGTCGAAACCATCAAAACCAGACCATTAGCCTCGAAGAGAGATCACCATCGCCGTCATCCAGTTAGTTCAATGCACCCTGGTTCAAGATGTGGTTGCATAGTGGCTTTGGCCACTGTTCATTGTCTCCTCTGGCGAAACTTCATTTTCCCAACAAAGGAAACAACGAAGGGGAAGTTTCCCAGTTTTTTTACGGAGATCCAGCAGCTTCGAGCCATTTCCGCCCAACTCTAGCCACGGCTTAGTACCATTTAGGTGCGATTACTATCGAAGACTCCGACTTTCTTAACTCGAAAGGATCTGACCTCACAAATATTTGTGAGTGGGTCTTTGCTTTTAAATATTATATATTTATTTAGTTTCCATTTATATATTTGAAAAATAATTTCTTACGTATGCCTAGACTAGTCTAATGTTTATAAAAATTAGGGAAATGATGAAATTTACTAAATTATCCTAAATCCTATGGGATGCACAAGTATGCGTACTTTTGTGGGATTTTATTTATGGTCATGATTAATATTTATTGAATAGTATTATGTTGACATAAATTATTGTTTTATCACTGTATGATTTTATTTACGTTATATGGTCATCATTGCTGCACCGGTGTTAGTACTCGGCTAGGCCAGGGTCAGTCTTTCATGTGTATATTCACATCGCACCGTACGCTTACTTTGGATCCATGGTAGGTTCCAGTCCAGTCCTAGATTGCTATAGGCAATTAGGACTCGTATGTGATGCGTATAGTCTTCACGTGATTGTAGTACTAGAGCGTAATTATTATTACACCCAGTCCTGTTCATGTCAAAGTATCTCTGCATGGACTCGTGTGTCAGCATATGTCGATGAACACTCGATATGATATGTTTGTTTATGCGAGATTATTTGATATTAGTCGTTATGTGTTTATTTACGCAATATTGCGACGTATGGCATTCTTGTGATATTGGTTACGATAAGTATTTTCATACTATACGTAGTATGTATATTTTAGAAATTATACTTGTTTTACCTTCGATGGAATAATTCTCATCCTACTTTATTATACTTTACTTATGCTCTAAAATCATATCTGAAATGAGTTCATTCCCGCTCATAAGTACACTATTATATTTAGGTGATTTTAGGTTTAAATTTATTCTCATTTTCCACATCACTACACTTTATGGTTTTGGGTCGGAGTGTGTCATTATCTATATATACATAAAATGAAAAATAAAAAATGATGAAGCTTTCAAATATCATAAAATGTTCCTGATTAATAAAAATATTAAAAGAAGACACTATTTCTATTTAGTTGAGAATCAAGTACGACTAGTCTTTAAAGAGGACTTCTCGTGATACTCTGATGTCACTATTTCTCTTTACGAGCTTATTTAGTGAAGAAGAATAGTGTATTAGTTACGATTAAGATACATTCAAGGTAATTTCTTTCGGTATACAAAAAGAGCCTTTACATAAATACAACAATTATGAGTTGGTGATCAAAATTCAAAATTATGAAATGATGTACAAAACAACAACAATTACTAACCAAATATGTATTATTGTGGATTCTTAGCAAATCATGAACCAATTAGTCTTCATCAAGTTTCATGTACATGAATAAACCAAGTGTACTATATTACTAATTATCGCGTTGGTTATTTCATCACCAATTCAACTGTAAAGTGACAGAATTTTTCTATTTGTATTCTTTATGCTTGATTTTTTATTATATATATTTGAAAGTAAATGGAAGAGTGAAAACAAATCGAAAGAGAGAATGAAAATATCTAAACATGACATAACCACGACCTTCATTTAATACATCCATAAAATTTGTGTTAATTACTTGTGCATGGGCAATTGACTCTAATACAAAATCTTTTGTATTTATATACTTTGACAATTCATATGAATATATATATATATATATATATATATATAATGAGAAAGTAAAAATGATGAACCTTTCAAATATCATAAAATGTTCTTGATTAATCTCTACTAATTAATAAAACACTCATTGTTAATCAAAACCCTATGAAATTATTAGTTTAACATTCTAATTAAAAAAGAACATGAATAAGAAATATGGGGCATAAATGTAATTTCACACAACCAAATTTTGCTGTTTTTTTTCAAAGCCTCACCTACAAGTAATCATAACATATCTCTAATTTAAAAAGAAAAAAGAAAAAAAAAACTTCATACTTCGACATTCTCTATCACTCTCTTCCTCTCTCCTTCTATTTCAAAAACAAAAATAAATTTTTTTCAAAAACACTGTGTGTGCACATATGCTAGTAAAAATATTAAAAGAAGACATTTTTTTTTTTAAGAAAAAAGACACTTTAAAATTAAGGCAAATAGTAAAATTACAATTTTTGTTGTTTTCTGGTAGGAGTATTTCTCATGGGACCTGCACGTGGATAGGATGCGCGTCAGATGGAGCGTTGACAACATATTGTTCTTTAGATGGGAATTCTCATGGGACCAAAGTGAGACTTCTTGTAAGAAATTGCCTATTGTTTATCCTTATCATTGAATAAAGGTTGTTCGATACTTTTGATTAAAAATAGACTTTTGAGGTCTTTTTTATTAGTTTTTTTTTTAAAGATAAACATAAGTATTAGCGCTTAACATTGGTGAGCTCAGTAAAGACCAAAATAGTTGTGCGTTGCCCCTTAGTTGGTTTGGGGTTTGCGAAGAAGGAGAAATCGACAACAAAATTTAAGTCGTTTATCCTTCAAAACTGTTCACTGAGTCTCGTAAATATATTGAATACAGAGTTACAAACAACGCTCGACTCAACACAATATATTTTCTCTCATAATTCCTTTAACCTCTTGTAAGCAGTACTCATTCTCCGTATATAGGCCCACAAGGAGTCCCAATGTCACGACCCGTCCCAAAAAATTACGGTTTTTATAATTTTAACACGTGAAATTACGAAAATGCCCTTCGAGGTAAATGCATTGATTTTATTTGACCGGCTTGTCGTGTCATGTAAGATCTATTTTCTTGGCATATCCTTATAGTACTCGTTGCTACAAATGCGTGGGCACGAACGGAAAGTAATTTGAAGCTATAACAAAGGAGTTATTAACAAACGAAGTCGAGGGTAAAATGGTCATTTGACCATAAATCTGGAAGGCTCTAGATTTTGTTGGAGCAATTAGTTGATGCCACATGTGTGGCTAAGATGGAAAAGAAAGGAGAGAAAATGAAGAACTGGACCGATTAGAAAAAGGGAGGTGAGGAGTGACCAATGAGAAGAGAGAGAAATGAGGGAAATGAGGGATGAGAGAATAAGAGGAACCGGTCAGGTTCCCCTTGACCTGCGTGACCTGACCTGGTTCCCTTGGAATTTTCAGATGGTTTTCTGTCAATTTTTCGGGCGAACCATATCAAACAATCACCTGGGAACCACTCAACGCCTTTCCCTCTACCAATCCCACCTCAAAATGGAAGAAATTAGACCCAATTTCATAAAGAACCGCACCGGTTGGTGCAGTGGTTCCATGGCGGTGATTTGCCATTTTCTGAAGCCAACTCCATTGACCACCACCACCACCAATGGACTCCCTTCAACCTCAGAAACAAAACCTATGCATTGGTTGTGGTGTCGGAGCTTGTTTGGAGTCGAATCAAGAACACTCACTTCTAGGGTTTCCTGCGGTTCAAGGGTGATTTGAGGTGTTTCCTGACCGAACTGGACATCGGTCCATGTATAAAAGTTGTTCGTCTCATTAAGATCTTCATTCCCGTAAATTTAGGAATTTTTGGAGTTGTTGAATTTTCCGACGAGTCGGGGCTATCGGCTGTCGCATGTAGCAGTGCGTAGCCTTCCGAGCCACCTCCTTGTGGCGGTTTGTGGGGGGAACCCGAGGTTCCTCCTTAGAGTTTTACTAAATGGTCTCTATGTGCATTTAGGTGCATCGGTGGACGTGATCCGGTCTTTGCTAGTTGAGCGGCACTCCGACAATAAAATAACTGTGAGTAAAACCCTTCTTAACTTATATATTTTTATAAACTATTAGCCTAGCATGCATTTTATATCTCATGATTTGAATATGTTTTATAGAATTCTATATTTTATTGTTTATGAAATATTTATAATTTATCGAAATTACGTTTTACGAATGGATATGAATTACTAAGATTTTCATATACAGAATTCTATGGATTTACGAATGTGACTTTGAGCTTTTGAACTCCGATGTTTTAATATGAGTTTTGAGATATGTTTTTGGTACGTATCTAGTGGGTTATCATATAGCGCATCCACATAACACGGGTATGTAGACGTCTATGGGCATAAGACGGAAATTTATGTATATACCTCTTCTCCGATGTAACCCGGAGTCGTACAGCTTTACATTCGGGTGATGGACCATGGTTTTCTTCACTAGCGTAACCCAGTGTCGTACAGCTTCACCTTCGGGTGATGGATATGTATTGCCTGCGGGTGGATGAGGAGTGGATGATTTGATGATATACCCCCAGCTTCAGTAGCCTGGGGCTAGTGTCGGTGTGTGATGTTATATATCTTCTTCTCCAGCGTAACCTAGAGTCGTACAACTTCACCTTTGGATGATGGACCATGGCTTCTTCACTAGCGTAACCCAGTGTCATACAACTTCACCTTTGGGTGATGGACATGTATTGCCTTCGGGCGACTATGATACCCTAAGTTGAGTACAACACAGATGTTTTTCATGGCATGCTAGAGTTTTTATAAAACCTACTATGTAGTATTATATATGTGTTTTCAAAACAGGGGGTTATTATGTTCAACGTAGGAATCATTCCTTTATTCATATCTTTTCCTAGTAATTCCTTCATATTGTTCTGGTTAAGTTGTATGCTCTGAACACATTCCTGCTTTGGCATAATCGTTCTAACTACTTATTCTTTATTGCATGCATGTTTAAAATGGCTTTGTCACCCTTGGGTGTTGGCCATCATGTTTCCTTTTATAGGCATCTATTAGATAACCACCACATACCTGGAGTTAATGGTTTGAATAGGCACGTCTCTCTGTTCTTGCGACCTTGTGCCATAAACCTGTCAGTGCACCAACTTGCACATTGGTGGTCTGAAAGTGCTTTATAGGGAAACCCTTAGCCTAGTTGATTTATAGTTAATCTGGATGCCATGTGCTCCTATAGCACTCGAGATCATTCTCCCAGCTTTGGGCCTATCGGGGTCGGAAAGGACCCTGCTTTAACAATAGGTCTAGCGTTGTCAACGAGCTCATTAAAAAAATTAGGGAATTAGAACTAGAATACCCATAATTTTATTAATGAGGATTGTATCCCCCTGTAAAATGACTATTGTTTGTACCATACTTAGGGCCTCCGTATTTAGATCTCGCATAAATACTCGGGGCACTCAAATGTAATTATGTAATAAATGAAGGGGCAAATATATAATAAGTGATAAGCCCTTATTCTATAAAAGGACCTCTCATTCTCCTCATTAAGGGAGGCCAATTCTTAGGCCATAGGAGAGAGCTCTCTCACCCTCAGAAGCTCTCTTCCTCACATACAAAGCCACAAGGCTAACAAATAGAGAAATACAATATCAATGTGGACGTAGCCCAAACATTGGGGTGAACCAAGATGCATCTTGTGTTATTTACTTTCTTGCAGATTCACGATCGGATTTACGTTGTTCCAAGACCCCTCATCAACATTTGGCGTCGTCTGTGGGAAACGATACGAAAAGTTGTGTCGGTTCTCTTTCATTTTCTCACCTCTATCGTGGATTTGCAAAACCTGATCGACTAGCTACTACTTCCACCATCCCAAGCTCCTAACACCCTTTTCCGACCTACAGATCTACCATTTCTCAGAAAAATCCAACTGTTGGGTTTTGTTGTGAAGATCAAAGATACCAGATATAGATGCCTTCTCTTCCTGCATTCTATCTACATTTCCCACTCAAAAGATATCAATCTCTCCTGCCATAACATCCCCCAAGTTCAGCAACATTCCATCGTTGAGATTCAGAGAAAAATCAGACGCAGGGCATTTCTTTCAACCTCTTCAAACTTCTCTCTCGATTCACTTCCAAGATGCTGATCTTCGTAAAAACCCTTATTCTGCAACTTCACTCATCTTCTCGGTTCACTTCGCCTCTCTCCTCTCTTTTCTCCTTCTACAAATACCTTGGGAAGGATTAGGATTTCTGCTACTCAATAATAAACCCTAATTTCACCTGAAAGCTCTCGAAAATGGCTACCGCTCAATTCAACGTCCTCAGCACCAAGCCCAATTTCACAACCCTGAGGTCGGCATTTTTTAGTCAGGGACTGGGTCGAACGACGCCGTTGAAGGCGTTTGTGAGCGTGAGACCCAACAGCATCAGAAGGGTTGGGCCGCTCCGGATAGTCAATGAGAAAGTTATGGGAATCGATCTAGGAGCGACGAACTCTGCCGTTAGGGTTATGGAGGGCGGAAAACCCACCATCATCACGAACGCCGAGGGTTAGAGAACTACTCCATCCGTGGTGGCGTATAAGAATAATCGGGATAGGCTTATGGGCCAGATTGCCAAACGACAGGCCGTTGTGAACCCCGAGAACACCTTATTCTCCGTGAAGAGGATCATTGGGAGGAAGATGTTTGAGGTGGATGAAGAGTTGAAGCAGGTGTCGTATAAGGTCGTAAGAGATGCGAATGGGAATGTCAAGATCGACTACCCTGCTATTGGCAAACAGTTCGCCGCTAAAAAAAAAAATTCAGCTCAGTTTTCGAGCTTGGAAACAGGGCAAGCAATCCCCCATCACTGCTACTGTGTGTTGCGCCTACGGTCCTCTCAATCCGTCCATAAAAAACCAAGGGCAGCGTAAGCAATGAGAAGAATGAATACATGGATGTCTGTGATGGTGGGCCCACTTTCGGTATAAATTCTGCAACTTGTATGGATTTTTCAGGATGTTTGGTGCGGTCCCGAAGTTGGGTTCTCGACGAGAAACTACCGGCTCGGTGGATTGCGTGGTGGCGAGGAGGAGTGTCTCCGGCAGAGGCAAGATTGATGCGGGCAATAATAAAATGAGTAGCCACAAGGAGTCCACCATCCCACTATTTGAAAAAACACTCACGAAGAAGATAAGCTTTCTCAATAATCAGTCCATTATTATTCCTGCCATCTGCCAAAAGAAAGAAAAACAGAGAGAAAGCAAAAGCAAAAAGAAGACGCAGTGAACAAAGAGAAAGCAGAAAGCAAAAGAGGATGAACAGAAGCAGACATAATTGCGGTGGTGATGGCATGCAGAAAAGGGAATTATAGGTGTGACCCATTGAGCAGAGGGTCAGATTTATTTTTGAATGAGGTAATTTATTTTTCGTATCTTTAGGAGATATCTGTATAACCCCATCAGAGGGTAATAAAAAAAAAAAAAAGGGCAAGCCCAAAATAATAGGCTAGAATGTTATGTAGAGGGTGAATGCCCATATGCCCAAAAGAGCCAGACCCTCTATTATCACCAACCAGGTGATCAAAAGTACGTCCAGTACTCCAAAATTATTCGGCAACCTGCCGTTATTATCACCCACAGGGTGATTTGGTGATCAAAAGTACGTCT